TAACTATTAATTAAAACATTTATAAATTTTTTGATGAATTTAAGTTTACATGTATTACATATATTTATTGTCCTTATACATACAGTCTGAATCAAATTAATAATTTTACTTCTTACATTGGCTTTTGATTCCAATAGCATTYTTTGAATATTTTCTTTAAATAAACAAGTCATTCTTTTACAAAAATCAATCGTTGAATCAAATGGATACAGCAAATCACTATTATCATATTCTTTCATTTCAATGAAAGTAGTACATGGGTTGAATACAGCTGTGTTACTTTTGTTTTTTGCTGCCAATTGATTGATGCATTCAGGATGTTCAAGTTTACTGCATGCCCATCCTTTGACATAAGTTACTGCAGATGAATTATGTAGATCCATGAGTATACTGTTGATATTTGTTGATGACAAATGTACATCTAGTATATTGTTATACGTATCTTCATCATCTTCAATTGTATTAYCCRATGTATTAAATGAATTTACTTGTAATTTAATTGTTTTTATTTCATTAAGTCTGGTTAAAAATTGGCAGGCATCCATTTCACAATTTCCTTCATTTGATGGTGTAAGCAAATTGTTACACATCAACATTCTTATTGCAGATTGAAATTTAGTAGCATCTGGAGTTGTATTGTTACCACCTTTTGCTCTGATAATGGAAAATACATTTTCAATACAATCTTGAGTTAACCTTCTAGTTAGTAAAAATTCTATGGAATATTCTGTGTTTAATTCTTCAAACAGTAACTTAAGTGCATTTATATTTTCTCTCCATCCTTTAATACACGGCGGCTGCTTTCCTGACTTATTATGAATTTTCAAATTATTTAAAAACTTATCAGCATTTTTTAAAAATTCCCAGTGACAGGAATCTTTAGTCAATGGTCTCCTTAAAAGTTTTGATTCGTTGTATGTTATACTATTAAAAATGTCAAAAAGGCTATCAAAAAATGAAATTAATTTGGCAGTGTATGTTGCTTTACTTCTCATTTGGTTCAGTGCCACTAGTGTTAATATACCAGAACTAACTGTGTGACTTAATGTTTGGGTAGCCAAACAAACCCGCATTGGGGAGAATGGTGGTAGATCCATGTGAATGTTTTTTAATTTTGGTGCTAATCTCAAGGTTTTATTTTTATCTAAATTATAAAAAGTAACCAAATCTTGCCAGGAATATACTTCGTCATCATTGGAAATGTCATACTTTTTAAAGTTATTTCTTACAGATTTTATAAGGTGCGGGCTATCATGGAAAAAATAAATGTTTTTACCTTCAAAATTAATGTAAGGTCTTGTATAAGTGACTCCAAACAAATTACGCATGCACAAGTTATTCGTTCCTTGATCACAAATCATCACTTTTGGTATAAGTCCTATTTCTTTTAATTTTGTTATTGTATGTGCAACAATTTGTTTAAGYCTATATCCTTTGACTGGTCCACTTGAAAAAAAGTACCCAATAACTTGTTTCCAAGGAGTAGTGAGAACTTTTATCATTACAACTAAGGCTTGGTCACAGTATTTAATATTCTTTAAATCAACTATTGAATCATCTGCAAAATCTTCAAAACCACTAAATAAATCATTTTTTGAATTGTATGAAATTAATTTTTTGATTGACATTTCATCAATGATTATAGATACTAGTTTTTCCTTATCTTCAACAGACGTAAACTTAGTCTTAAGTATTTCAAAAATATTTGAGTTCAATCCACATGAAACATCTAATAATTGAAGCCAATTCCTTAATGATCGTACAGTTGGAA